CTTGAAAATCCTTGAAACGTTTTTTTAAGTTATCCTATTCTACTATTTCTACATGATATTCACCGTCATATGATTCTAATGAACTTTGAGATATCTTTTCTGAAAGAAGAGAAAAATGCCTGGTATCACCATCGATCAAGTTTTGTTCCTAAAACTCAAGCTTTTTGATATAATTTTTTTGTAATAGCCACAAGAAAATCAAAATCTCTAAGCCAGATTGACTTTTCCAGTGCCGGAATCGGTTCATTTTATTTTTATTTTATAGCAGACACTATCTCGTCTTTATTTCTAAAGTTGGCAAATAATGAATCTGCAGCTTCTAAAAATGCCTGTTTTATCATTTCTTCGTCTTCATAAGGTTTCTTCTTTTGTGTAATTATCTGGGATATCCGGTATGACACTTCAGTCACAGCCTTACTTTAGCCGATTGTTTTTAAAAACATTGTCTGTTGTCCAATTAGCTGATTTTTTAATTGTTTCAGTTTTTCCGTTCTGGTTGCAGAACGTAATGGGAATGATTTTTCAAAATTTGAATGTACAGTTTTATAGTGCCTCTCGATTATTCCCTTTTTTAGCAACGGAAACAGATGTACAGGTATTACATAACAAACATACATTTAACTTCTGTGAAGAAATATTGTTCTTCCCATTCCGAATAATAATAATAATAAAGCATTTATTGCCCAACAGTACAGTACCATTTAGAGAGCAATACATAATGCAATGGTTTCATTTGTGTCATAAAGTGGAACAAAAATAAAAAAAAAACACACACAGAAAAGAGGAAGGCGCTTTAAGTAGAGAAAAAAGAAACTATAAATGTGATCAATAGATATTAGGAAACCAGAATATACTCGTATATACACAAATATCCATATACACATACATACACATACACACATTATACGAGTATACACATATACAGGTATACACGATACACATACATATATATATACATATATAACAAATGAAAACCCCTAGAGAAAGGCGTAAAAAAAGTCAAAGATGTGAACGTATTCGTAATTCCTGAAGTCCGCAACAGAAGATATCACAAAAACTCACAATCCTATTCGCATTATTGCACATAAAGTTTATTGATGCTTTAGATAGAAAATTTGTCTGCGCCCTCTTGCAGTAAAAGGAAACTTTATATTTAGATGTCAATCTAGGTACCAGGAAATTAATTTGCGATAGCAAAACAGGACAGTCGATGTTACCATGCAGTAATTTGTATAAAAATATGATGCGCTTTTCCAAAGAAGGGATGCCAAATCTATTCAGTAATTGTGAGTAGTCGCATCCTCTTGGAGGATAGACACCATCACTCCTATAGCACAGATATTTTAGAAATTTCTTCTGCACTTTTTCAACATTAGTTTTGTACAGTTTATAGATAGGAGTCCAAATAATTGCACCGTATTCTAATTTACTTATAACAAGCACTGAAAATAACTTAATAAGCGTTGTGTTATTGAAATTTCTACAACATCTGATAATAAGGCCATATTTGCGATACGCATTACTTATAATTTCACTGATGTGGTAGTTAAAAGTGAGCTGACAATCGAAATAGACGCCCAAATCTCTGAAAGTTTCACACCTTTTCAATACAGGATCGTCTATTTTGTATGGGTAAGTTAAAAATTTGACTTTCCGGGTGAAGGTCAAAATGTGGCATTTAGAATTGTTCAAATACAAATTGTTATCAACACACCATGTTTGTAAAAAAACTAGTTGTTGTTGGAGGTTTTCACAATCCTGCCAGCTAGAAACACATGCGTAAAGCTTCAGATCATCAGCAAACATAAGCTTCTTGCATGATGATGTGAATGGAAATGGTATGTCGTCATATTCTTACTACTGCTCATAATGTTTTTAATTGCAGGCCAACTCTAAGCCAACCGCTGGACACTGGACACTGTCGCCGCGCCTTGCGTATTTATTCCGTTCAAAGTAATCGAGATCGTTCACCGCAGTATTGCCGCCGCTTGTGTTTATTATGAGAATTTACAAAAATTACGGAAGCTTGTATGAATTTTACACCTGTTTAACACATGTTGTGAGCCTCCAGAATTGCTTTTACGCGCTACCGGTAGCTCGCGATCGACGGGTTAGCGACCATTGCTCTATACACTCTATCAGTGATCGGTTCTAGAAATAGATGACTCTTCGTCTTATTCCGATAGACCCTTCCTCGCTCGTGCGTGGGAAGTAAAAGTCCACGGTTGACCCGCTGTCATTTAGCGAACAATAATAATAAGAGTTCCGTCGCCTTTCACAAGTCGATTTCGACCTACACGGCACCGCCTCCATTAAAACGTAATTTATAACGGCCAAATTGAAAAGATGATACCGTAGAATTTGCATTATGAAAGTCTTGATGGTGTGCATTATTGTACCGTTATCATTCCGCCTTGCGCTGTGTGCATCGTATGCGAAATGCGGTCGATTCGGAAAGTACCGAGTATGTATGAAGGTATTATACTATTATTATAATCAATAAGCTGAAAATGACTCATTCTAATATATGGATTAGTTGTAGATTTAGACAAGGAACAATATGTGAAAAAACATAGTGCTAGAACTATATCTGCAATTCATCTGGTTAAAAGTGACACCGGCTTCCTCTCTGACAAAATGCTGATCAAGTTCTGAGCGTTTTAGCCCATTTTGAGGTGTTACATGTACGGTTCTAGGCTAAAAAAATTCCAGCTCCGACTCAGAAACACTGTGCCATCTCTTTTTCTGGCGTTGCGATTAGATATCGATATGTGTGACCAATTACATTTGAAACCTGTTTTTAAAGCTTTAGCAGTCATTTTTGTTTTGTTTCATGTGTTTCCTTAGTGCGATACACGTATGTCTTATTATTAACTTTCCTCCAATATTTTTTTTAATTACAACGCCTAAAAAATTATAAATACTTCACAGTGTTTCCGGCTTTGATGATTTCACAAACACGCAAAAAAATCACTGCTGATAAAATTTAAGAAAAAAATAATAACTTACTCCGTCAACACGACAATTCACATGAGATATTCGAATTATGAATGAAGCGAATACGCATCCTATATGTTAACTACCTGTGCGACTTTGTCAATTGTAGCTGCTTCAGTGCAGCTTAGTTTTTTTTTTGAAAAACGCTCAGACCCGTCGATTTTGTTTTCGAGGGGGACACAAGTTTGGCAAAAAAATCACGTTAGCACGTGCAGCCCCCTAAGCGGGGTTGACACCACCCCCAAAATCTTAAATGGAAAGGGGGGTCGAGTGATACCTTATTTTAAAGGTTTTCAATTCCCTTTATAATGATATAAAATTAATGTACTCCAGTTCAGTAGTTTTGAAGATTTATTGACTTAAAGCTTAAATAAAACTAATACATCATCATTAGTGGATATCAATACATTTGGCAGCACAGTAATTTAAAAATGAAGAACGAACTGACCCGTTAGGCAAGTAAATGTTGAAAATGTCATGACTCTCCATGCAATAATAAAGATTTTGCTCAAAACGTTGCCGCACATTTTGCAATATTTGAGGAGTAATTTGAAGGCACTCATTCACAATTCTTTGTCGCATGTCTTCTAATGATGTTGGCTGAGTAGCATAGATTTTGCTTTTTAAATGACCCCACATAAAGAAATCCAAAGGTGATAAATCTGGCGATCTTGGGGGCCATTCAATGGCTCCGCCTACGAGAACCGCCGGGTGGTACCTCCGCGTTCGACAGTCAGAGACCATCTACCACCTACGGACAATCACAACATCCATGGCCAAGAGAAACATTTCTCCTGGGACGGGACTCGAACCCGCACAGCGCACGGCGGCTGATCAGGAGACCGAAGGGTCTACTACTGCGGCCACCGCTGCTGCCTAAAACAAACACACAACATCCATGGCGAAGGCGAGATTCGAACTCGCGGCCCGGCCGGCCGGCTGATCAGTAGCACGACACTCTGACCCACGCGGCCAACCGAGGTCCCATCCTGTTGGAACATCAACCTATTCGCAATGTACCGCCGATCATTCTGATTTTCAATTATGGCTGTTAATGCAGGATCTATGGCGTCAGTAATTCCAAATACATTTCACCGGTCAAATCTCCAGGTAAGAAAAAAGGACCAACTAAATGATCGCCAAAGATACCAGCCCAAACATTTAATTTTTGTGGCTGCTGTGTATGAACCTCATGATAAATTCTGGGATTAGAATCGGACCAATATCGGCAGTTTTGACGATTTACTATGCCATTTAAGAAAAAGGAATTTTCGTCGGAAAAGCAAGTGTTGAGTAGAAAATGTTCATCGTTTATAATTCGTTCACTCATATCTTCACAAAATTGTAATCGCCGATCAAAATCGTCTTCATTAGGTTCTTGTACCAGGTGAATTTTATACGGATGAAAACTATGGGCCTTTACAATCCGTTGGACAGAACGTCGACTAACGCCACACACAGTTTCCAATTTGCGGGTACTTAACGTAGGATCTACAGAAACTTGCCCTGAAACCCCCACTTCTATTGCTTCGTTGCTTATGGGATTTTCCATGTTGCGTTTTTTGCCATATATTTTTCTCGCTTTGCGTGATAACGATATATGTGACACATTTTGTGTATGACTCTTTCAAACTCGTAGATGGTAATTTCAAAACATTTAAATGTGTTTCAAAGTTTAGAAGTCAGTTTTATATTTTGCTTCGTGTACCTAAGTGTTTTCTTAGTGAGATACAGGTTTATTTTTCATCAACTTTTTTCCAATATTTTTTTAATTAAGTACGCTTCAAAATATTAAATTATACATGGTCTTTTCCGCTTCCCCATGTTACGTATTTTGTTCGGAAAAGCACGCTTATGATATTCTCAAACTCATTACTGGGAATAACCTTCTTTGAACTATTGCCACTTCACAAGTTTTTTTTTATAGTCCAACTACCACGAAGGCCTAAACACCCATTGGGTACCGTGGGGCTATAGGGAGATACAGAGGAAAAGGGGACCGCCACACGGACTCTGGCGAGGGAACCCGTGTGCATGCAACATGCACACATTCTGGCTCCGCCTACGAGATCCGCCGGGTTGTACCTCCGCGTTCGACAGTCGGAGACCGTCTACCACCTACCAACAATCACAACATCCATAGTCAAGAGAAAAATTTCTCCTGGGATGGGATTCGAACCCGCACGGCGACTGATCAGGAGACGGAAGAGTTTAGTACTGCGACCACCGCTGCTGCCTAGTTGAACATATGAACCTGTAGGAATTCTCCCAAATAAGCACAAAAAAGCAGGTTGCCATTCATTCAGGCATAAAATGACATTAGGTTCAATATTATTTGTAGTGTGTCACTCCGATATAGTGGAAGATGTGATGTTGTTTGGAATAACTGTGGATGTTGTTGATGCAATTGTCCTATAAATCTGTACTACATTCACCTGTCTAGGTTAACACCAGCTAATGCATGATATTTTCAGCGTTCGTACAGGTCACACCCCACCAAAAATAAGTATACCTACACCGTACTACACTAAAGAAATCAAACAAAAACAAAGCGAGATACACGATTAACATTTATTTTCTTGTAGATAACGCATGTATCTGATCGTTCAGACAGACTCTGAAAGTGTTTATCTAGCATGGGGAACATACTATTAATCAAATCGGGAATTTAAGTAACATCTATCCGCGAGTCTCGGTGGTCACCATTTGTCACTGCCATGCATTCACTTACTTGACAAATGGCGAAAGGGTGATAGTTTTTTGAATCCGTCTGCCATTTTCCGTTCTCGTATACGAAAACATTCTGTATTCATAATAATAGTCAGCTATAAATCTTCGTTCGAGCTTCATTCGCAAATAGTTTTACTTCAGGAAATTGATAGCATTGCTTCGGACTTCCATTGTCTATAGAATCTGTTTTTCTACACTTTTGCTTTCTGCTTTGACACGATGATGAATATGCTGCAGTCAATGCATTCTAATAGATTATTACATGTTTACGTTGCATAATTTGTCGACAAAATTTCGTAGTTTTAGAGAATACGTTTTACTCATCGGTCTACCAATGTATCCCAAGGTGACATCGTTGTATCATCATAATAATACAGGGTGCGGCAGAGAAGATGGACGGTTTTAAAAAAATCATAAAATAGTTAATTTTTACTCGAAAACAAATTTATTGATGGAATCAGGTTCACAAGGAAATAGCATTTGAGCCAGTCAAGTTTGGAAAATCACATCAGGCATTTGGTGGCCGAAATCGTTGATGCAGTGCTGGAGGTGTTCTTGGTAGTTCGCGTAGACTCTCTCCAACATCGCTCTCTCAACTTGGGCGACTTCCACGCGAATTTCTCCCTTCAATTCGTCCAGAGTTCGGGGCTTGTGGCTTGTGAAAGTGGGCCTCGTCACTCATAAACAAAATGAGGTTCTCATTTTGATCGATCAGAGCTTCCATCTCACGTGCGAAGTTCATTCGTTGTGCATAATCTCCGGGCTGTAACTGTTGCACAATGGCCAATTTGTAGGGGTGGAAGCGGAGATCCATATGCAAAATTCGCATTACCGAACGATCACTAAGGCGAAGTGCAGCAACATGTTTCCGGGCAGATCGAGTCGGACTGCGAAGAAAAACCTGTCGAACGCGTTCAACATTTTCAGGAGTTCGAACTGTTCGCGGCGCTCCTCTTGGTCTTCTGTTGATCAGTTCACCACGCCTGCGAAGTGATTCAACTCAATGAAGGATGGTGTTTCGAGAGGGAATAGCTCTATTCCGATGAATGTTGAAGTGGCGACGAAACTCACGCTGTACGACGATGACTGACTCATTATTTAGGACGAAACAAGCATAGGCGAAAACGCCACCGTCCAAGGCTGCATAACGACAACTGGTAAAATAATGCTAGGATCTCAAGAGTCAAACGGCACCCTCCCCACCTCTCTCGTAGACGGAGGCGGAGAGTACTACCCATCCCAAAAACGTCCGTCCTCTCTGCCGCACCCTGTACTTACGGTGGACACATCTAACTTCATTATTCTTTTGCTGATATTTGCAAATTATGTAAGAAGCAGCACGTCTTGAAATCGTCTAACACCACAATTATCTATTTACAAATTTAAAAAATATTATAATAATATATTCAGTGCTTTTCTTTAATGTCCCCCTCCCCTTTGACATTTTGAACGGATCGATTCAAAAAATTAAAACTTGAGGTAATGAAATTGATGCGTGGATACCACATTTTAGAGTAAAATTGACAGATGAAAATGTCAAGATGGCCGCTGGGCGCCCTCTTAGAAAAAAATTATATGAAAAGGGGGGTCTCGTGGCACATCATTGTGAAGCTCCTGACGAGTACTTTATAACCCTAGAATATAAAGTCAATACCTTTACCTACTACAAAATGGCACATTTAATAATTACCTGAATACATTGACATTTAACTTGATAATTCGAACAAATACGTTGAGTTCCGTTTAGAAGATGCTGGAAATGGTAGCCTTGAACTTCTTGACACAATAACAGCTGGTCCGTAATTTCACGTCGAACATTTTCAAACATAGTAACATCGATATATCTACAAATATTTGTTATTCTCAGCCGTATATCCAATATTAAAGCAGGTTCAGTTTCGTACACCTTTTGCTTCATAAAGACCCATAAAAAAGTCTAAAGGTGTCAAATCTGGCGAGCGAGCTGGCCGTTCCATGGGTTTTCGATGCCCAATTCAATCTAAATAATTCCTAACTTGTCTGTAGTAGTGTGGTGAAGCACCATCTTGCTGGAATACAATATCAGTATCGAATTCATTAGGATTCGCTTCGACCACTTGGGTGATAGAGGGTCAATAGTATTTTCCAACATATCCAAATACAGTTCCACGGTTAACCGTGAGGATCAGGGTCATCTTCAGTTAGGAGATGTATCATTTGAATTTTGTATGAGTGATACTTATTCTTTTTCAAAAGTCTCCATACAGTAGAAGGACAAATCTCTCATACATTCGCGATGGAGGAATGAATGAATGAATCTTGAAATTAGAGGCATTCCGGCCACCATAAGGAGCCAGTGCATAGGCCACTTAAGCGGGCCCTTATGCACCTCTACAATCCTTAGATCACAAGCCTCGCCCTTTTAGCGAAGTTGAGAATCACCTTGTGTCCAAGCTCCTTGACGTCCTGAGGGTCCAAAGTAATGGACCCCAGTATAGTCTGCCTATAGTAGCTCAGAGCTTCACAGCGACACAAAACGTGCGCCGAGGTCTCTTCCTCTACTCCGCAGCGTTCACACAAGGGATTCTCAGCCACCCTCATCACGTGCAGGTGACGCCTTAATATGTTATGGCCAGACAACAGTCCCACCAGCAACCTTAGGTTGGCTCTATCCAGAGATAGGCAGAAGCGTCCATCCTTAGCACTGGGCCCTTCAATGAGTTCTCGTGCCTGACGGAGATGTCTGGAGATAATTCTCCATTTCTGAGAGTGTTGTCTTGCAACCCACGTCTCCATTTTCCTCCTAGCTTTATGCGCGGTCACTCCTAGTGCTGGCTCAGGATCAACGAGCTTGCTGGCTGATCTTGTCTTCGACAGAGTGTCCGCCGTCTCATTGCCCCTTATCCCAGCGTGCCCCGGTACCCATATTAACGATACCGGATGCCTCGCTGAGAGGCAATCCAGAGCCTCCCTGCATTGCAATATAAGACTCGGAGTAATCTTACAGGCACTTAGTGTTTTCATTGCAGCCTGGCTGTCGGATAAGATTGTTATTCTTCTCCTAGACCCTACTCCAGAATGTGAGATACACAAGCCAGAATCGCAAAGATTTCCGCCTGGAAAATGCTGGTGTATCCACCGAGAGGCAGAGATAGCCTAGTTCCAGGCCCAGAGACCCCAGCACCTGAGCCCTCTTCGGTGACCGACCCGTCCGTGCACCAGACCTGCCCGCTCACTTCGGAGAGTCCCCGGCTACCGGCGTCCCACTCCTCCCTCGTTGGATACTCCACAATAAACTTGCGGTTGAAGCGATACTTAGGGGTAATACGATCACCCCTGCTTAGAAGGACGGGGTCCTCTCTTGGTAATTCGACTAAGATGGCAGTATGCCCCTTGACAGGATTCAAGAAAGCCCAGCTGCCCTGACTCCACAGTCGATGAGCGACTACTCTCGCTTCACCGCGGATCACCAGATCCAACGGTGGGAGATCCAACAGAGCTTCCATTGCACTCAATGGCATTGTTCGCACTGCGCTTGTAATACTAATAAAGGCCAAACGCTGAATTTTATTGAGTTTGGCCTTAGTTGTCTCAGTTCTAATGCAAGGCCACCAGACCAGAGGGCGGTACAAGAGAGATGGACGTACTATCGTCCTGTAGAGCCCCCTAACTACGCGATGGAGGAAGTAGACTGTTGGGGATTTACTATGGTCCGATGACCTGGGGGCTTTTTGTTGTTTACACTACCAGTAGCTGTAAATTCAGATACAAGTTATGTATTAGTTAGCTTATTTAGTTAGTTGAATATTTTCTACAGATAGGACGATTCGGGAAACGATCATTAAAAATCCTTTCGGTCTCGTGAAAGTTACGCGTCGCACCATAAATAAAAATCGCGATTTTTTCTTCCAATGGACGAGAATTGACAATTTTAAAAATAGTTCAAACAGTATCCAGCACTAAAGCCGAAAACTAAATAAGAATATTTTAACTGAAGAATGATGTTTGTTTTCGTACTGATATTCTTGTCACTGTCAACAAAAAATAACAAAACAAGTTTTTATCGCTGTGGCTGTGGATACGGCAGGGAATTACAATTATTTGTAGAGAGATATGCATGTTAGTGGGTTTGTGTTCAGGTAATTATTAAATGTTATACCATTTTGTAGTAGGTAAAGGTATTGACTTTATATTCTAGGGTTATAAAGTACTCGTCAGGATCTTCAAAATGATGTGCCACAAGACCCTCGTTTTCAAATACTTTTTTCCAAGATGGCGCCTATATATATATATACGAGCAGTAGTCATTGCCAAAGCCAACGACTAGTTGGGTACAAAATACAATTACTTGTTAATTGGGAAATTGGCAAAACTTTTAGACTTAAGTTGACTCTTTTGACGATAAAATCAAGCTTTCGGCATTCTCTATGGAGCATTCGTCAGGATTTTGTCGGTGAGGTTGTAGCCACAAGGCCTTTCCCCTCTCCACGTGTAGCGGTTGTAGAAGGTTAGGGACTGCATTCCGATTATTTCAACAAAATGTCTCCCCACGTGTAATGTTTTTAACT